TTTTTTTTGTGTTGAGGTTTCAAAGCAATGATAATGAGATAGACAACACTTTCTACCTGATTGATTTAGGGAAAATGTTACAGCAGACCATTCATGTGATTTGGCTCTATAAAGGCTTGCAATGTTAGATATCAACATGTTGGGCTTGTTGCTAAAATCCTTCTTGATATTCTCAACACTCAATTTGAAATCTTAATACTGAAAAATACCCAAGCCAGTACAAATTAGCATGTGCTCAAGTATGTAAAATCCTGTTATCTTTAAAAGTTTAAAAAAGTAATGGGGATTCTTTTTTTTCCCAATTACAGGTCGCAGACAGTTCAAGAGAAAGATGTGGGAGAAAGAAGAAATTGCAGCTGTAGAGAAACATATGATGTCCTTCATAACCACCTGTTGTGTTCCAAGAAAAAGTGACTGTGATAAGTGCCTTCAAAAAGAAAAAACAGCACTTAAAAACAGAAATTGGCTGGCCATAAAATTCTACATCAAGAATCGGATTACATCTCTTAAAAACAAAGTTTAATATGCCATTCAACTGTCAGTTGTTGTTTCGGACAAGTTTTTTATTTTTTTTCCCCCAACTTTTCTAAGTTTTGAAAACAAACAATTTCAACTAACAACAGTTTTGTAAAATGTTGAAACTAGTGTTTTAGTTTAAAAAAGGAGTGCAAGTGGGGGGTTTGATGCTTTTGTTCTTTTCTGATCTGCTCCAAATATTTATTTTCCTTTTTTTTATAGAACCATTTTGTTTTTCAATGAAACCTTTTTTTTTAATCATTTTTTGTCAAGTTTGTGAGCTTTGATCACTTCAAAAGCAGGATTTTAAGTTTAGACTCAAGTTTGAGAAATTTTGGAGGATTTTAAGTTAAGAAAATAAACGTTTTTTGTTAGATACATATGCCTTGGTTCTTAATTTCATATAGATGTAAAAAATGTTCTATTTCTAATAAGGATTTAAAAGAATGCCTTTTATCTGCTTGCATTTATTTATTCACCCTAAAGCAGTCATTCCCAAAGTTTGGGTCGGGACCCATAGTGGTGTCCTGAAACATCAAGGTGGAGTCCTGAAAATATTCTGAATTAATTACACACAAAAAGACAACACTTTTTTGCCTTTGTTGTTACAAAAGAATAACAGTGTACTTAAAATGGACAAAAATAGTAAAATAAATGTTACTATGCTCTTGTTTAATTGACGTGAAAACAATGTTTATCAAGTGACAATAGCTGGGGTCACAGGTCCCTACTGCTGATATTTTATGGCTCAAAAGCTGAAAAGTTTGGGAACCACTGCTCTAAAGTACTTTGGGCTCTGTAAGCTTGTTAAACCTGAAAGTGTGTTAGTGGTCCTGTCAAAGATAGGAAAACTGGTTTGTGTGCTTGCTTAGTCCCCAGTAAGTACTAAAGGTCAGAAAAGTCCCCAAAAAGCTTGTTGTAGTCNGTCTAAAGAGAAGGTATAGTTTTTATGACAGAATTACAACTGACACACTGTATTTTCATCAAGGTTGATCATGTTTTGTTGTGTTGACTGTTATTTTTGTATCATTCAGATCTAAATGTATAATGTTATATGCTGGATGCTAAGCACACTCTGGTTTAACTTACTTTGTGGGCCTCTGCTACTAATTTGAGCTAAACACACTTTCAGGTCTGTGGTAAGATGTGGGGACCCCGGTGGATGGCCTCCTCTGATCCCACTTGTAGTGTTTTGTGTGACTTTTCAAAAAACTTCATGCTATTATTACCTTGCCTGAAGAGTGGCTAATGTTGTTAGCATGCACTGCACTTGATATCTTACTTTTGAAGATAGTTGCAGGCCATTTTGATGGTTTTAATCTTCAATAAATCCTAACATTTTATAATTGTCAAATCTCACTGTATCGACCTTGGTACTTTACATAATGCGCTTTTTGAATGCAATCACAGTTATGGGTCTAGTTCCAGGAAAATGTAAAGAAGCTTTTATCTTTGAACCNCGCTACTAATTTGAGCTAAACACACTTTCAGGTCTGTGGTAAGATGTGGGGACCCCGGTGGATGGCCTCCTCTGATCCCACTTGAAGTGTTTTGTGTGACTTTTCAAAAAACTTCATGCTATTATTACCTTGCCTGAAGAGTGGCTAATGTTGTTAGCATGCACTGCACATGATAATTTACTTTTGAATGTAGTTGCAGGCCATTTTGATGGTTTTAATCTTCAATAAATCCTAACATTTTATAATTGTCAAATCTCACTGTATCGACCTTGGTACTTTACATATTGCGCTTTTTGAATGCAATCACAGTTATGGGTCTAGTTCCAGGAAAATGTAAAGAAGATTTTATCTTTGAACCTTGTTTTGCTTGTGTTAATGGATTTGTTGAAAACCTGTGATAAGATGTTTTCATAAGTCAGATTTTACAACTCCTCTTTATTATTTATAGGTTGACAAACCATTAACTGAACCCACTGAGGCAGCGGAGTCTGACGAAACAGATCATTTTCCATCAAAGTCTACTTTGTCTAAAAAGAAGGTACAGTTCTTATGACAGAATTACAACTGTAACATACTGTATTTTAATCTATCTTCATGCCCATTTTGTTTCATCGAGTGTTACTTTTCAAATAATATCTTAAGCAATGTTTTATGTTTGGTGCCAATCACACTTACTTTCTGGGCCTCAGCTACCATTTTAGGTTAAGCACATTTTCAGATCTGTGGTAAACTGTGGGGACCATGATGGATGGTCCTCTCTGACCCCAATATTTTGTGTGACTTTTCCAATCACTTTAATTGATTATTAACTTGACTGAAGATCGCCTAATTCCCCCTCACCTTACAAAAACCTTGCCCTCACATACTCATTTTTTGTCTCCTCCTCCTCTCATATATTTCTTACAAATAGTGTATGTGCACATTCATCTGTTTTCACTTAAACATTAGCTTCGAGAAACATTATGGCTTTCTCTATGCCAATGCTTCACAGATGGCATAAGATGTTTTTCTGATCCGTAACATTTTTTTCTTTTCTAGAGGATAAGTAGAAAGTCAGCATCTCTTGACTTAAAAGAAGACAGAGT